AGTGTGCTTGGCACAAAAACGATAAGTTTACAACAAATTTCGTGAAAGAACTTTGTTTTAGTAAAATAAAAAAATAATAAAAGAACGCAAAAACTTGATTATTTGACTTTTTCACAATAATTTCGGAGTAATGTGAAAAAATGTGTTGGAAAAGAGAAATTTTAAGCTTCTTTTAACAAAAAAAAAAAATTAATTTGGGGAAGTTGCAAAGAATTTGCAGCTGTTCAAAAATTAATGAAAATATTGAAGAAATTCGCTAAATTAAAAATTGTTGTATAAAAAAGAGAAGAATGCCACGCAAGTCACCAATGAAATTTGTGAAGTCCTTTCTGGAAATTTCGATGTGAAAAATTAAAAGATGCACCTTCGTCTGGTCCACCTATCGTCGAAAAAGTCGATGAAATTATTGAAAAGATTGACCAGAACCGTCACATAAGCAGCCATGGCATCGCTAAGGAATTTGACATTCATTATTAAACGGTTTTAAATCATTTAACAAAGGCTGTTTACAAAAAGAAGCTCGGGTTTGGGTACCACATGAATTTTCTGTGAAAAACTTAAAGCATCGAATTAATATCTGCGATTCTTTGCTGAAACGAAATGAAATCGAAACATTTCTGAGCGATTGGTTACGATAAGTGGTACAAATACGACATAATGTGTGAAAAAGATCATGTTTCAAGTGTGGTGAAGCTCAACAAATGGTCGCAAAGCCCCGATTGACGCCTTGAAAGGCTATGCTGAGTGTTGGGTGGGATTAGAAAGGAATCATTTACTATGAGCTGCTATAGCCTGGTCGAACGATTGATTCTTCATTTTACTGTCAACAACTGATGAGACTGAAGCAAGCAATCGAAAAAATGGCCAGTACTACTAAACAGAAAAGGCTTGGTTTCCATCAGGACAACGCTAGACCACACAYATCTTTRGTGACTCGACAAAMACTGGAAGAGCTTGGCTRGGAGGTTTTGATGCAKCGACCATATAGCCTTGGCTTTGCACCATCGAACTAGCATTTGTTTCGGTCAATRCAGAACRCTCCAAATGGAGTAAAGTTGRCTTCAAGAGAAGCTTGTGAAAATTACTTGTACTTTTAGCGCCAATAAACCAGAAAAGTTTTACACTGTTGGAATAATGCCTCTAGCGGAAAAATGGCAAACAGTAGTCGACAAAAATGTTACATATTTGGTTCATTAAAGTTCATTACAAATATAAAAAGATTAAGTTGAARTTTGATTAGAAATACGAAARGAMTTTTTCGACTAYCCAATACATACATCTAGGTTCTAAACCACCAYGAAGTCTCGGCACTCACTACCGAAAGTGCTCTTTGTGGCAAGCCCAATTACAGTTCTCATGCTGTAAAAAAGAAAATGTCTTCGAAACCTTAGAAATTACCCTGAAAACCTTCTATAGAAGTTTAGCCATTTATATTAGTCACTTATTCTTTTATAGATATTTGTCTGAACACTTTTTTCGTTTTTCTTTTTGGAAAGGCTAAAAGTTTCTGTAAATCTCATCAATTGTTTTCAGAGGTTTCGTGTCTGAATTAATTACTTAATCAAAGTGTAAAAAATTCCAAAAATGTTTGAACTTAATCTCGATATCATGACATAAAATCACACCAGAGGCTTGCCAACCGACAAAGTCAGAGCAGAGTAACAGAGCAATTTAAAAATATTTGAAAACAAATTGCCTGACAAAATCCTTTGTCGCTCGCAATCCAGCGAAAAATGTTGGAGTTTGTAATTAGACACATATTCCACACACACACAMAAAAAAAGGTGTAATGTTTTGCCATAACCAAGCATACATATGCAAATTCATCTCAATAAATATTTATAAGGATTTTCGCCTTTCAGTGAAATTCCATAAAAATGTGAGACAACAAAAATAAATGCAAAAGCAAAGCAGCTTTGATCCGTCTGCAACATTGCTTACACAAACATACATCCGTTAGGTACTTTGTACATTTCCTACAAAGCGCCAACTGGCTGTTGGGCAGCAAAGTTGCTCGCCATTGTATCACAGCTGCTTGTGGCGTGTGTGTTTTTGTTTGCCCTTACACACTTACAAATTTTCACATTTACATATTTATTTGTGCTTGCTGTTGTTTTCCTGTTGTTGCCGTGKATAGCTGCCTAACGCCAACGGCATTAATTTCTCGCGCTCGACGAGGCTCAGCACAGCTTTAACCGGTGAAGGGGTGTGCACTCGGACGCGCGCGCTTGTGAAGTGTCAGAAAGAGCTGTGAGCAAAAAGAAGTGAAAGGTAAACGCTGCRAAAAATTGTGGGCAGCACARCGCGAAACTTTCAAGGCGCATCGCTTCAATGGCAAATCTAAATGTTTTAAATTTTTACTTTGTGAAATCATTTGCAATTTATTTTATTTAAAATGTGGCAACATTTTTTTAATAAAACTAATGCTTTAAGTTAAGTAAAAGTTCATTAATATAACATAAAGTGAACTCGACAGTCTCGCCATTACTTTCGATATAAATATAGCTCGATGGGATATTGGTGGTTCAAACAGCACTCAAATTAATTATTCCTTACTGATTTTATTTTTTAATTTTTCGTATCAATTTTTTTTTACTCTTTTAGTAACTTACATAAACTGTCTTAGATTCGCCCGTTCTCAGCTCGCTGTGGTTCTCAAAAGAATTACATATTAAAGCGACTAAAGAGATACCGAGCTGAGAGTAGCGGATTACCTCTTTAAAGTGATGCACTATATAGCGATTTTTCTCGTAACATCTGATGTAGTTTGAGAATAACGCTTGGCGAATTGAAGACAACTATACCATAAGCAATAATGATATTTTAAATAAGGTATTGTTTCCTTGTCTTTGGGGCTGGTCCCAAGCCCAGCGACCAATCTTGAGAAGAGACCAGCCTCCTGAGTAGCAGTAAAGGCATAACACCAGAAGATAGTAAATACGATTCCGCAATTGATGACGATAGAGCGGACGTTCAATTGYCCCAACATGAAGAAGTCCAAATAGCAATTAAACGACTGAAGAACAACAAGGYGACGGGGGCSRATGTATTGCCGYCCGTGCCATTYAAATACGGCGGCGAAGAGCTGAAAAGAGAAAGAATCTTGAAAATGACTTGTGAAAAGAAGATCGTCACACATCGTAAGAAAATGAAGATATCTACTCCGTTGAAGAGCTCCGATGGAGAAGGTTCTAAATTCATTCATATCTCAAATTGCGAACAGAAGAAATAACTGTCACTCTGAAKTCTTCAGCTCTAATTGTCCATTGATAAAAGAGATTAGTCATAGTACTTACAACATAACCTCATAAACATTGAGTTAAGTCACACGGTTCAATATAAATAACAGAACTTGCAAAGTCTTCCAAGTCTGAGGCCGAAACAATAACGTACCTCGCAAGAAAGAACACCCTTACCTAAATCACATTAGAATGAGAACGAGCATGTGTTCCTCAGTCTTCGTGTGCTCGAATACTGAATCTATGTTCCTCGCCCAAGCTCAGTAGGTATTTGTCAGCAACCAGCACTTGTGAACATGTGAAAGTCTTCTTAACCAGAGTGGAACGTAAAAATTATAGAAAACCACTAGCGCTTAGCAAAATTCACTTTGCCGCCACGATATGTGTCTTAACTGGACACTGTCCCATTGGTACTCACGCGTTGATGATTTTGGTGAATGCAACTTGTCAAAATGGCAAAGAGAAAGACGAAGTGGAAAACTACACGGTTCAGCTTTTCTCTGGGTAACCAAAGAACAACCGTTTGAAGATGAGCTAAAGTGAGAAGGCGAATCATTCCCTGCATAGGGTTGTGCGCTAGGTTTGGAACCCGTCACGTAAAAAACGTCCTCAATTAAAGGGAAACAACAGACTCGGATGAGAGAGGAGAAGCARGAACTGGCGCGCTAGTATAAAATAAAGAAAAAGAAGATRTTAGCSGGCTCAATAAATTTGTGGTTAGCTCTAGTTGTCATGAATATATGTGACCGTGCTTGGAAATTTCCAGCATCCCCACGAACAGACATCTCTTTACGAAAAATCAGTATATTTAGTTAACCTAATATAATCTATGATGTCATGTATAATATAACTGAACCCAATACCTGCCATTTATACATTGCTTGTTGACATTTTCTAACTTTCATTAACACTCACTTAATTAGGGCAAATAAAAGTTATATGGCTCAGAATATTATGGCCAAGTAGAAGTCAATAAACGAGCTGCAAYACATATATACAAATATACACATATTTAGACAAGTAATTACCTTCTTGCATGACCATTACCGTAGTTTGTCTACATAATCGTACTTTTTGACCAAACTGTAATAAGCACAAAACAGCTGGAGAAAAAAAAAACSAAACAAATGCTAGAAGAAAAGTAGCAAACCGAAGTCAAACAAGCGCAAACAATTGAAATGAGGTATTAGAAGAATCTACGAGTGGCTCTTGAACGTACACAGAAGAGCTGGGTAAACAATTGTTGGGCACATTTTTTACCCACATCGAATGCCAACTTGACAATGGCCTTTCTCCKAGCGTTACGACCCATTGCATTCGTGTCGCCTCCAAGCCATTTGCGGTAGCTATAAATGGCGCCAAGAGGTTGCACCAGCCCATATGCGAGTTTTTGCTAAAAATAGCTGAAATAAAAGAGCTTAAACTGGCGGTATACACGGTTGTATTTCTGTATGTATGCAACACAACTATGCACGACGAATTTGCCAAGCAAAACAAAGAAGCTGCAAGAAATGCCTTTGTTRTGTACATATCTATGTAAGTATATAAGAAAGAGAATAAAGCGCGCACACAACATCACTCAAAACTCACTCATTCTTAACAATGCGAACGCTTACGAAAGCTTGTAGCTGCTCAGTAAGCTTTCACTCAAATCATAAAGTTTTCTTTCAGTGCTTTTCAGCGAAATAAATCTTAAAGCCACAAAGTTTATGCGTTTGCTACAACATTCTTTCGGTTTTCTTCAGTTTCAACTCGGTCGATGTGTTGTGCGCTTTGTTCTTCGCTCGTAGGCTCGACGGCTGCGCTGTACTTCTGTGTTGGTTTATTGTTTGCTTAGCGCCAAAGTTAAAAGTCAAACTTGCCAGCTGATATACATGCATATATATAAACTCTTTATATAGAACAAAACGTATCGCGTAAAGGTTTTTGTGTTGTGGCCCGTGGATTTTCGGCTTCGCTGGTGCATTGTGCGGCTTTCTGAGCGCGCAGGTAACCAAAAGTGAAGCTCTAACAGAAGAGCAGAAATCAAGAAAAGTGMTGTAGTATATAAATTTACATTGACGTATTGTTTGTTTTACAAAGCCGGTTCCTTTTTTTCGTACGTTTTTCTTTTCACGTCTTATTTTTGGTAGTTTCGGTGGACGCTTTCGGAATTTTAATATACAAACATTGAGAACAACGAAACCGCTTCTGCTTTGTAATAAAACTAATAAAATCCATTTAATTCAACCGCCTGTGCTACGTCAATTGTTATAATAAAGAAAAGCAAAAAAATATTGAAGGCGAAATGTGAATTTGTTTCTGGCAGAGAGCGGCGTTGAAAAATAAAACGCGGAGGCGGCAAAGTTTGGCAATGCGAAAGGCAATAAAGTGTGCGAAATTAAACATAAATTAAAATTAAAATAATGAGTTATTTTCGATCATTAAAACACACAAACAAAAATTTTACATAATTTTTTTTGGTGAACAAATTTTTATTTTAAGAATTTAATTAGGTTTGGAGATACAAATTTCTATGGAATACTGCTATGAGCAAAAACAATTAGGACTTTGTTCATAATTTGAAAGTCTTTTAATATTTCTTCAAACTCTATGCCGTTCCATCAAAGTAATTCTCACTTAGCAACAATGCACTTGTGCCAACGTTTTCCAATCTGAGAAACAATTGTTAAAGTCAATTTCCGGAATAGCCTTACCTTACCTTTGCCGTGATATTCGGCCGATTGATCATCCGTTTCCGTGTCATAGCAAGACTCATCACCAGTAAAAATACATTTGTTCGCTTCCTGGCAGTCGGTAAGCAGTATTCCATAGACGTTAATGCGACGCTGTTTCTCGAAAGAATTGACTGTTTAGGAACCAATTGAATTTTCACTTTGTTTAAGCGCAAATGATCTCTCAAAATGGTCTTCACTAATCCTTCCGATATTCCAACGATGCCAGAGATCTTACTAGCGCTGACTGTTAATCGTCGATTCTCAAGCACCAATWCCTTTATTTTATTGACGTGCTGATCATCAATTAATAGACATGGTTCCTAGTCAGCGCGTTCTCGACCCTTTTTGAATAATTTGTACCAATCAGAAACAGTTGCTCACGACAAACAGTTATCAYCGAAGGTMTTTTCTAACRTTCTGAACGTTTCGGTAYTATACAAATTTAAAGGCAGTCAAGAACCATTCACTAAGTAATTTCCTTTGATGACAACACATTGAATTGTTTCGAACCAATTTCACACTCAAACGCTGTACCGCTATATATTTTGAACAGCTTATATAGTAAGGCTTGTTTAAAAAAAAAAATTCTTCATATTTTTGGCATCGTGCCACCTTCGGACTTATATTTGTTCCGGTATCCGCAAAATTGCTTAGATGGGAGAACCCTCATCTTAAATCTGAACGTCAAAAACTACTTAGACCATTCCGTTGTTCTAGAGCAAATTTTATATCGGTAATAGATATTGTGAGAGAAACTTGAGTTTGTATGGTAGCTATATGCTATAGTTGTCTAATATCGGCGGTTCCGACAAATAAGCAGCTTCTTGGGAAAGAAATGAAGTGTGAAGAATTTTAGATCAATATCTCGAGGACTGTGGGACTCGTTCGGGTATATAAGTGCAGAGAAAGGAACCGAAAGACACAGCTAAATCGACACAACCCTTAGTTCAATAAAAATACCCTGTGTAATAAAAAATTTGTTCAACTGTTAAACTCAGGCTGTCCAAACAACCTTTCTCTTAACATTCACATTTTTTTCAAGCTAGAACCGTATTAGAACTAAATGTTCTTCGAAACACTGTAAATTTTTACCTTTCCTTGTAATCCTTTATTTTTTCTCCTTTTTCTTCCKTTGAAGCCTTAGTCCATGCAAAGCTCATTACCTATTTCCCTTCCTCTATAGTCACGTGTTCACAGCTTTTGAAGACTTTTGCTTACCAGCGAGACATTTTTCTTCCTTTCGCKTTTCAACGTAATTTCAACAAACGAAACTTGGTTGATATCACTACAGAAATACAAAACAGAAAAWCGTTTCAATATATTATATTTGTAAGGTTAAATACTACCTCGTTTAATGGCAATAACATTCATTGTTCTGTATTTTTTCATGTTGCCTCTGCTGACCACTCAGCGTGAGTTTACTATACATATGTATATGCCCTCAACGTTGCTGAACATTCGCCCACAATCCTTAACGATTTTATTTTGTAGTTTCTTCAAAATTGTACAGAGAGATAATTTTTATTGCATTTTTAACAAAATTTTATTAGAGTTTTGAAGAGATCATATTCTTCAGTACACTTTAGGAGTTAGTTTACTTCGGTATGAAAGAGTTCCGAACTAAAGGTTGTGTTGAAAAAAAGTGCTGAATTTCTCTGTGTTGAGAACTGTGTCTGAACTAAGGGTTGTGTCGATTTAGCTTGTACTATATACCCGAACGAGTCCCACAGTTCTCGAGATATTGATCTAAAATTCTGCACACGTCATTTCTTTCCCAACAAGCTGCTTATTTATCGGAACCGCCGATATTAGACAACTATAGCATATAGCTACCATACAAACTGACCGCACAAAACCAAGCATTTGTATGAAAATATTTTATTTGATGAAATATCTTCATGAAATTTGTCATAGCATTTGTATAACAGCATAATCTTCGAAGAAATTGTTCAGATAGGACCAAAATAGCATTTATGTATGTAGCTACCATACAAACTGAGCTCTCAAGAAGAAGTTCTTTTATAGAGACTTTTTTATTCAGCACGATATCTTCRCGAAATTAAGCATAGACAACACTTTACACCAGGACAACATTTTAATCTTCGAAGTAATTGTTTCCGATCACTATAGCCTATAGCTGCCATACAAACTGAACAATCGGTATCTGGTGCTTGTATAGAAAACTTTTTCATTTGACGAGATTTCTTCACAAAATTTGGTATGGCTTTTTATCTATAGCAGTGGTATCATCTACGAAGAAATTATTCAAATCGATTCAMTATAGCATATAGCTGCCATACAAATTGACCGAACAAAATCAAGTAAAACACTTTGTATATGTTTTTTTTTATTTAGGCATATTGAAAATCTTATAAAAATCCAACATAATATCATAGAATTCTTCAAATATTTCATTTTCGAAAACTTCGTCATATTCGAGTGATTTKTCTAATAAATTTCAAAAGTTGCAAAAACCAAAAATTCGAAGTAATCTGTTACCATATGTTGATCGTCGAGAAAGGCGTCTGTTTAATTTCATTATGACCCAATTAAGTGGCCAGCAGAATGGGGCTCATACACACACGCAAACACAAATCAACGGCAGCCGAACACATACACGAATGCAAATGTCCGTGAAAATGTAAACAAACGCAGCAAAAGCGTGTCAACGCTCACAGACATACATACATGCATGTGTATATGTGTGTGYGCTTGTGTGTAGGTGTGCAAAAGTAGCAACAACAACCACTTGTTGGTTCAACGGCAGGGATTAATTTGTGTTTTCAACGCCTGAACGACATGATACATAACGGTAAAGCGCTGCTTTTATGTCGGCGCTTGTGCGTGTGTGTGTATGTGTAATTAACAGCATATTTATTGCCACTTTCGTATTGCCACTTTGCCGGCCACCGACATATGCTTCATCAACGTGCTGTAATTAAATGGTTTTGATTGCGTGCAATTTACAGTTATCTAAAACTCAGCAAACAACACAAATACAAAAACCAATAAATATTCGCTGAAAACAATAACRATAACATCAAGTGTAAACACGTCACTTATAATTGATACACATATTWACACAACAACACAAAACTTTCGTGCAACATAAACAACATTACAAAGAACAACAACAGCAAAAACAAGCAAAACAACACTGCATAGGACATAGCAATCACTAGGCTGCTCAGCAACGATAAACGCGACGAAAATGAGGTGAGCTTTGAAATTTGGGTCAATATCAACGAAAACAACAACAACAAAAACAACAGCAGCAACAACAAAAAAACGACAACGTTAACTTCACTAAACTCCATAACGACGAACTTTTAAATCCCGGAAATTGCCTCAACTGATGCCTCCCAAATACTCGTAGCAATCGTGCATCGTCGCCGGCTTTACAAAGCTAACCGAACTATTTCAATAAGACAACAAAGCAACGACTCAACCAAAATTCCCTAGTACACAGTTACATTTTTGGCAACGACTGTATTCGCGTCTGCGACTGTTTGGCGATGCGTGATCGCCGCCACGCGAAAATTTCGTTAATGTCGTGCTGCCGCGGCTGCTCGGACGATGTGTATGTTCATGGTTTGATGCCTGCCCCCGTGACACGCCCAATTTTATGGCACTTTGGCAAATATTGTTTTAGTTGTTGTTGTTRTTTAACTAACYAACTCAGCTGGTAACGGTAATATTRATGCATTGATGCGTTCACAGTAAAAACTAACTAAGTACAGTTAAGAAAGTTTGAGCTTTTTTATTGTAAATTGTGTTGCAATCAATTTTTAATTTATTTCACATTTTCGGCAACATTCTAGCTTTTATTTGCACAGTTTATTTATTTATGAGACTTATTTTTCGTATGCAACTTTTGCACTTTTCTTTTGCAATTGCGTTGATGTCCTTAAAAATTTAATACAATTTACTTTTCTAACTTGTACTTAGTACGTTTTTCATGTTAACTTGTCGCTAAATTTATTTTTAGTATTTTCTATTTATTATTTTTGTTTATCCGTATTATTGTTTTTTAGCAGAGAATCTAATGCTCGGAAGTACCAAATAACGTTCAAATATAGCTTAAGGATATGCTCAGATCTGTGTTTTTGCTTTTTACTAGGAGGCAATAGTTTTTCGTGTCAGAACCTTATAACATTTAAAATTACAGAAAAAGAACAATAGATTTAGATTCTTCTTTTCGAAATTCGGCACAAATTCGAGATACCAAGTGTAGCCAGGTCCTTTTCCTCCTGAACTCTCCAATGGAGTGGAGGTCGTCCTCTTCCTCTGCTTTCGCTGCCGGGTACTGCTTGCAAAACTTTCAGAGCTGGAGCGTTTTCATCCATACGGACGACATGATCTAGCCAAGACTCGTAACGTCGATTCATCAGGTGTTGTCATCGTCCATGTCTCTACACCATAAAGCAGGACGAGATTAATGAGTGACTTATAGAGTTTAGTTTTTATTCGTCGAGAGAGGAATTTACTTCTCAATTGCCTACTCAGTTCGAAGTAGCACCTATTGGCAAGAGTTCTTCTGACTTCAAAGTTATGGCTGTCAACAGTGTCGTGGGAGCCAAGTCATGAATGCGACGACTGTTTATGTCATAACAGGAGATATTTCATCTTGCCCTCGTTCACTACCAAACATATTTCCTTCACTTCCTCATGCAGTCTGCAGAAAGCAGAACTAATGGCGCGGTTGTTAAGGCCAATGATATCAATATTATCAGCGTACGCCAGCCAGACTCTTATAAAAATTGATTTATTTAGTTCTGCAACACTAATTATTTTCTCCAAGAGCAGATTGAAAAAGTCGCCTTGTCTGAAATCTCATTTGGTATCGAAGGGCTCGGAGAACTTCTTTCCGATCCTCACGGAGCTTTTGGTGCTGCTCAACGTCAGCTTACACAGCCGTATAAGTTTTGCAGGGATACCAAATTCAGACATCGCGGCATAAAGGCAGCTCCTTTTCGTGCTGTCGAAAGCAGCTTTGAAGTCGATCTTGTTTTCACTGCTCTTTTCCAAGATTTGGCGTATGGTGAATATTTGGCCAGTTGCTGATGTTCCGGGCCTAAAGCCACACTGATATGATCCAATCAGTTTGTTAACGGCGAGCTTTAATCTTTCACAGAATATGCTCCATAAAACCTTATATGTGATGAGGCCTTATCCCAAAGCAGTTGGGGCAGATTGTGGGTTCTCCTTTTTTGTGGATTGGGCAAAGCGCACTTAAATTCCAATCGTCGTGCATGCTTTCGTTCTTTCACTTTATTGCTCTTCAGCTAATTGCTTTGGAACTTCTTGATGGTTGGGTAATTTTGCGTCCGCTTCAATGTTATCGATTGGGGGTTCGCCTTCTGGCGTTTTGCTTTCTGGAGCTGAAGAAGTGCTCCATAATTTTAGTATATTCCGGGCATCAGTCACTAGATCTCCTCTGTTACTTGAGTCTAAGAAAAGTGAAAGCACAGTTGGTTCAAAAATCATTCAATTTTTCGAAAAACAGTCGCGTTAACAGTAACGTTAACGTATTGGCGTTGAGTTTTGGATTTATATGCTTACGACTCGGAAATAGACGATAAACCCACCGAATATCGTGGCAAAGGTGAGCCGAAGCTGAAACCACGTGAAAGTAAGTCAAAAATCAAGGTTTGTTTGTCAACTTTCTTCGATTATCAAGGTGACCTCCGAATTCATTCCGACTGACCAATCTGTCAACAGGGAGTACTATTGGCATTTGTCGCTTGTGCGCAGCTATTCTTAAAAAGACGTCGGAATTATGGGGCTACAACTCTTGGTTTTGCAACACGATAATGCACCGTAGTATACTGCTTTGATTCTTCATGAGGTTTTTACCAAATTTCCCACCAATATCGTGTCGCAACCACTGTGACTTCTGGCTATTCGGCATACTCCAACGACCGCTCCGGTGAAACCGTTTTCTTTACAACTGCCTGTTGACTTTAACAACTGCCTCGAGGATTGGAAAAAAACACGTCGGCACAAGTGTATTGAGGTCAAGAGAGATTACATATGTATGTAGATTTTGAAGAATAAATTAAGAATTTTTAAATTAGTCTTACTATTTTTTGCTCGCAGTAGTAAGTACATTTAAACTTCTTATAATATGTAAACAGAATTGCTTGCGCAAACAATGCTTTAAGTTTCCAACAACACGGCACATATTCACATTAGAAATTGCCGCATGAAATCCAATTTGTTTTTGCTTGAGGCTATTGCTTTTGCTTCAAAKATTTATGTTGCCAAAGAAGCAACAGGTGCAAAAACATAAATTCGTACGTATTCATGAATGTGTGTATGTGTTTACATGAATATTTKTGTGCATGTAGCAAAAGCAGTCTTTGCTGTTGTTGTGTTGCTGTTGGAAAGCAGCYACTTGTTGAGTCACCTTTAAAGGAAATATGTGTCAGTATCAAAGCATGTATATGTTCGTGTGCTTGAAGGTTCTTTGYCTCTACTTAGAACATGTTCGTATGTACGCAAATATGTCGCTATTGGAATAATAATTTGTTTATTTATTTATTTTTTGWTTWATATTACTCATGCAGCAATTCAATTTAAACGCGTCTGTTTAAGTTTCCTTWGCCGAATTGTTTGCTGAAGTCTTTGGTTCTTTGCTCATATGTCACCTTTATCTTCCTTTTGTGACACTTGCAAATATTTATTTTTGCATTGACATGCAAACACACATATTTTTGAAATGAAAAGATAATGCAAAATTTTCAAAAGCGAATTTTTTGGGGTCAAAAATTTCAGTTATGCCTAGTATCAATATTCGAAAGAGAATATTCGAAAATATTTAAGCTATTTATCTTGAAATACGTCAACCTGCCTCCGTTCTACGTTAGCTCTGTTTCTACTCAATATTGTGCAAGTACAAATACGGCTAAGCGATTTCGTCTCCAGTCGAGACAAATAGTTGCAGACATGAGTCCATGCGGCCTTTTTATGCATAGGAAGCTTACATGTAAGCCGATTATCGAAGAAAGAGCAAAAAAAAGGCATCGATTACTCTATACTGTTGTAGAGGAGCCATTGGCARGAGTTGGAGTCTCTCACCGAAAGTGGCCTCCCTGGCTCTAGGACACCATAGTCAGGTCCATTATGTTCTATGAAGTATTTATGTGATGGAGGGCTCTAGAAAAGACCACACTTGCAAAGAAACTCGAGAATGGTCAAAGGGTTGCGCTCATCAGCATGTGTGATGCACTAAGATCGACTCCAATAATGGCACTTAACGGCATTTAAAACATAGTGTCCGTAGAAATCGCCGGAAAGTGTATGCCTCAGAAAATCTGGGTYCTTAAAAGAAGGCGTATCTGAACACTCAGATATCCTCACACACTTTAACTTCAGATCGGATCACTTAGATCATGGAATCGCCAAACCGAATTCTGGCGGCTGCTTCTCTGTACACATACCGAGGAGCGCGTTATGAATGGGAAGAAACCGTTGTATGAGAGAGGCAGTGTGCTTCTTTAGGGATGGAACAAAGCTTGGGGGAAGGTTGGTGCAGAGCTTTACTGTCAAGAGCTCTCTATCAACTTCATTTTCGTACTTCCTGACTATTGTAGTGTCTTCCAAGCAGAGGTTGCAGCCATAAGGTAGCAGTAGATCTGCTGCTCCGGAGTGTAGCTTCCTATAGAGAAGTGACTGTTTACTTATGTAGATAGAATAGCGGCGATAGTAACCTTGAACTCATTCAGGGTTGGTCGAAGAGTGCCTAACCTCGCTCTTAATAGCATCGAGTGTCTTTGTGATAAGACTAGTATGGGTGCAAGGCCACAGCGGAAATGTAGAAGACAGTTAAGTTAGCAAGAAAAGGCACCCTAGAACAGCTATCGGTAGAATAGGAGCGGATCGGTGCTCCCATATCCTCTTGTGTTCTATTACTAGATAGCTGGGCTTTGCGGAAGCTCGGAAGATTGATAGCAGGAGATCTATTGATCTCTTTGCCCTCAGTAAGGCTAGCCTCTCCCTAGGTGTGGGGCTTTTAACAGGCCATTACCCTATTGGCGTYCAGGCTGTAAGGTTGGCAATCTTACCAGACGCCGCGGCGCGCCGTTTACAGAAGCTGTATGAAATAAGATGAAAACAACTCAACACTTMCTTCTTGACTATCCCGCGTTTGAGAGGTTACTAAGGGGTTTGCTTAACTATAAAACCGAACACATGAGTTTTTCTTTTCTATGATTTCACAAAAGACTATATATACGCAGTCCAGGGGATTAGCCATCAAATCTAACCTAACTTCTTCTCCAGAAGTTTGAGTTAGTWTGCTGTCCGATACATATTTCACTTGTAGGTCGTTTGAACGAGTTTCAAAAATAACTGTCACAGCTTTTTTAGGTGAAGTTATAATCGCATTTAGATAAGCATTACCTCCATAAATATCGCTCTCTAATTTTTCGTTATACTYTCGGCTAAATTTTTTCAAAATAACTCTCTCTAACTCAAGTCGAAATTTTAATTACTCTTTTAAAAAAATTTCCTCCGCATATTTTTGCAATGCAAACAACATATGTGTAGTATGGTTGAATGGCTCCAGCGATAATTACACTGGATGTGCAAACGATTTTTTTTATTTTATTTTTTTTTTTGTTTATTTTTATATCTTTTTTTGTGCCCTGAATATTTCCATGATTAATGAGTTAAGCTTCTMGCATTTGTTAAGGGTGTACTCGTAAAAAGCCACAAAACTGAGTCAGCGAGACCAGCATTCTAAGCTTCATTCCAGCTGCCTTCATCAACACGAGTAATTCAGTGAATATTCCAACCAATATATACAAACATACCTACGTACATTTTTCTAAGTAGAGTCAGTATATTGCTTTTATAAATAATTATATATATAACTACATACATACATACATATATACGTACATAAATAAAGTACATATTAGAGTTAAATGCTTTGTAGGAATATAGCGTGACTTCTCGTTGTATGCGAGTGCATGATTTTTTTCAGTTTCTACTCACACATATATATGTATATACACATACACATATTAGGGTGATTCATAAAAAAAAAATTTTTTTTTCGTTTGATACTCTGAAAAATGGGTTCCTAGACACCTCTAATGAAGCTGCTCCAAGAATGAGTTCTTAATTATAACGGGAAGGTCTCCCTATTTACAATTTTCTATTTTTTCTTATTATCATATAGAAAACGTTTTAACTCGCTTCCAACTGCTTGAAAAAATATCTTGTTCCATAGATTTTGCAGAAAATTGACTGCTCTAATAAAAAGGTCTGTCGATTTTTTCGTAAACCCAACCGTTTAAAAGGTATTAACAGTTAAAATTTGATTATTTTTGGGAAATTTGTTTATTTCTTATGAATTTGATAACTCAATGCAATAAAATCATTATGAATAATGAATCTCATAGTCAGAGTAAAAAACGAAAAAAAAACATTTTTTTTTTTTTGAATCACCCTAATATATATATAAAATTATATAACATATGTGGCTGCATACCGACATTTATTCATTCGTTGAAGCACGAAAACTCACAAAAACCCACATATTTTAGCCACACATGAATACTATAGATGATGTGACTACAAACGTACATACACATATTTATGAAAGTATATGAATATAAATATATATATATATATACCCATACCCATTAGAAGTTATCGCCATCTGCACTTGTGCCAGTGTGTGCGTGCCTATAGCCGGCGGGCTTACAGCATTTTGTTGTTGCTTTGGCCAAATAAAAAACGTAAACATTTTTTACGGTTTTTTATAACCGCCACTTTGAGGCAAATAAAAAAAAGWTGGCTGTCATTACCATTTTACTCCAATTGTTACAGTTTGTGTTATCCTTCACTGTTTCACTGGCTTTCTTCATAAATTATTGCGGCAAATCGTTTTATTTGAAAGTAARGCAAACAGCAAAAGTACAATTATTACTTTGATTTTGCTTTTTTCTCAAATTGTCTGCTGTAGATCTAATTGAATTTCGAGCTTCACTTCTTTAATTAGARACAATGGGAATGAAGTATTACCAGTTAAACTAACTGAAACCCACTTCTTTTGCCAAATAAACAGCTTAATTGACAAAACAACTTAAAAAGCAATTTGAAAAGCTTATAATTAAATAAATATATATACTATATATTCAAAACTAACTGATTTATATGAAACGACGTTCTTTTATCCACTTCTGTCAACCCTTCGTTTTCTACAGTTCTTTTCTTTTGCTTCAGTGATTACCTCTTCACTTGCTTCTAAGTGATATGGAATAGTTTTTCGAGTTCAAAACAGAAAGTCCTCCGCAATATAAGCTGACTAATAATCTCCGGTCTCATTCCATGCCTGTGRATTACGATTTTTTTCGATACATGGAAAAACATCGTTCGATGTTTGTTGTGGTTACGAGATATGCCATGGCAATCTTTACATACATATACAGGTATTTGACCACTTGGGAATATTTTATGCTGCATCGGTTAGAAACTAAATAAGTTCACGTTGTATCACAGTGGATTTGGTAAAAACCCTGACTTTGTCCAACCCAGCTACTCAATGTCTCCTAAGTTACAGCATTATGAGCCAAGGCAGATTTTACGTCTCAGCTAGCTGAAGGCTGGGCCTTCGGAAAGATTAGAAGACATCATTGGAACGTGTCATCATGCTCCACGCCTGCTCTGCATTCYGCCGAATCAACTTTGCCATTTTTCTGAAGGTGGGATCTAAGGGTCGGTGCTATGTGATGAAAAATACAATGTTACTAAGATTCATTTTTGGTCAGTCCCAAGCTACCTTTATGGTATGCCCTGTGTTGYTAGTGTTCCAAAACCTTGATGAAACTAAATAGTCTAGGGAAGCTTGGAGGAATTATATTCATGGCTACCTCCGAGCGAGCAAACTCATCTGCCTTTTCATTTCTTTATTTTCTATATGATTGAGTACTCAGATAATTTACCCAGTTAACCACAGAGAGCCTAATTAATRCCTCCTTGCACACTTAGCACATTCTATTTTGCCAACATTTCGTTCTGATGGATTTAATTGTATTTAATACTGTATCGATTGAATTTCAAGTGATATGACGGTTAAATATYGACGCAAAAGCTTGGTTTTATTACGCTTGAACATCTCCAAACTCTGCTCCGAATTATCAACTCTTYTTTTTGTTTTTGCTCAAAAGTGAGCTCGGATTCGTGAACGATATGATATACACAATCAGTTGATAGATCTTTAGAGTGCCTGCTATCTCGAACAACTTCACGGTCATCCAAACCGGAAAACCGGACTCTCTTTACCAAAACAAGTTTTTGCTTCAAATGTATTTTTAGTYCCTCCAAAAARYAATATTTTATCAACACCCRAAAATCCTAYACATCCATTTTTTTCACCATAACAAGAGTTGCCGCACTTTAAATGAATTCGAAATCCACAAACTAATTATCCGACAGTTATCAACTCTAGCAGCGTCAACTATGGGACCGGGACTTTTCAATTGACCTGTTATTAAGGAATATTTATTCTACTTTATTGCCGGCTTTCCAACATTTTTTATTTACATGAAGTAAGTATTTCAAGGTCAAAGCAGTGGCTACRAAAGGAATTTCTTATCGGTTCTGTTTTTATTTATTTCTTTGTTGAGCGAGTATTATCACAATATGTTGCGAAGTATGCCAAAGTCAGTTTTATTGTGTTAGGCACTGGGAGATGACTTCATCGTGATCCATATTTACACAGTTGTCCGTATACACATACGTACATACATACATTTTTATATATRTGTGCCACACGATTATCACGAATTTTTCTCGGTTGTTGTGCTAATTTATCTCAACTCTTTTCTTTTTCCCTTTCATTTATCTTATATATACGATTTGTTAAACAATTGTTGTTGCTTTTTCCGCTAAATGTTCATATTTATTATTATTTAGCGAGAGATTTTCTTGAAAGCTTCGTCACTGATGAATTCGTCTAACGCTTTTGCCTTTTATTAATGCTTATGTACTCATTATGTATATAAATATTTATATGTTTGTGGTTATAAATAAATATATTTGCTACGAAGTATAGCTAGAGACTTCTAAGTAGCGCCACACAGATTCCGTAGACTGCGGCAGCCGGCGGCAAAGCACGCCAACAGTCACACAGTCACACAGTCTGTCGGTTGATTAGGCACAAGCGTATTTATTTCACAATTTGTTGTTGGCGGCGTCTCTAATCGAAATTGCGTGACTCTTTGAGAGCGTAATAAACGTTTTGAGCGTTTCAATTCAATCTTGAACAGCTGCCGACAGCCTAAGACACGTCACAGTAGATTGCGTGCACAAGACGTCAGCTTATGTGTAAGCTTTGCCTTTTACTCCAAATAAAAAATCACTAAAGCACCACGCTAGCTTGTTGACTTCTAATAAATAAATGTATTAATRAACCATTCAAGAGTGTACTCTCCACACCATACCAAACYCATGTGCGTTCTTCTTTTTAGCACCATCGAAGATATCCCCGAAACCCAGGAGGTCAGCTCCACCACCACCACTGCCCAGCCAGAACCTGCGTCGTCCACGGCAAACGAGGTATACGACCCCAATACGAGCATACCCCGCCCACCGCTCGCCGAATTGACCGCACGCCCGCCAACACCCGTCGATGACAGTGAAATGGCTGCAGCTAGCAAGGAAGTAAATGGCGAAAAGGCCGTCGCCACGACATCTGCCAGCAGTGATAGCATCTTTTCTATCATCTATACGGTTTTCAAGAAGGTTGCCATTGTGGGCTCCATTTATTTGGTTGGCTATATGGGCTGGAGTGTCGCGTGGCTGATCGCACCGGTAATATTGTCAGTGGCGCGCGATGAACTACGCAAAACTACCGAGCATAAACGCAGTATTGCCAAAGCTTCGGCCATGGCCTCTGAGAAGGATGTGATACTGGCGCGCATCGATGAGCTGCCAGCGTGGGTGAGTACAGTTGTAGAATTTTAAGAAAATACTGGTAAGCGATAGCGGACTCATAACGCTTTATGGCCTGTAGATTCTGCTGTGAAAATCAGTCTTCCACGTTATTTTTTATTTTGGTTCTCTTCCTAAACTAATGATCAGTTTCTCTCATATTTTTTCCTATTTTTCTATTCCTTCACAGGTTTACTTTCCTGATGTGGAACGCTGCGAATGGGTCAATAAGGTATTTATTTAATTCTACCTAAAAAGCAGACCGGCACAAAACTTTTCTTTACTTCCCTTTCGCTCAGATTCTCAAGCAAGTGTGGCCCAATGCTAACCATTTCGCACGCACTCTCGTCAAAGAGACTATCGAACCGAACGTGGCGCTCGCACTCGCTAATTACAAAATGAATGGCTTCCGTTTCGATCGCATCATTCTGGGCACGATACCACCACGTATAGGCGGTGTCAAGATCTACGATAAGAATGTTGATCGCAACGAGATCATCATGGATTTAGATTTATTCTATGCGAGTGATTGCGATATCAATTTCTATTTGGGTAGCATGAAGGGCGGCATCAAGGACTTCCAAATACATGGCTGGGTGCGCGTAGTGATGAAGCCACTCATACGTTCCATGCCACTTGTGGGTGGCCTACAGATTTTTTTCCTCAACAATCCGAATATCGATTTTAATTTAGTGGGTGTTATCGATTTTATGGATATGCCCGGCTTGAGTGATTTGTTGCGCCGCATTATTGTGGAACAAATCGGTGCAGTCATGGTCTTGCCAAATAAGTTGCCAATAACTTTGAGCAATGAAGTGCCAGCGATTAGCTTGAAGATGCCAGAACCGGAGGTACGTAACGAGGACGTGGTGCATTGGGAAAATGTGGATGTTTTGTTTTTCTTTTTGTTGGTTTGTAGGGCATTCTACGCATTCATGTCATTGAGGCTAAGGATCTGATGAAGAAGGATATCGGTGTTTTGGGCAAGGGCAAGTCAGATCCCTATGCAGTGATCAATGTGGGCGCCCAAGAATTCAAAACGCAAATTATTGAGAATAATGTGAACCCAAAATGGGACTACTGGTGCGAGGTAAGTCATTCTTTATTGATATTTATGAATTAATTATTTTTAAAGACTTTATATTGTTTATTTTTT